CATGAAGAGCTCGTCCGATGGTGCCGAGCAGCCGGGGACAGCCTGTCCATGCACCCAGCCAGAGCCACGGCCTTTTCCTGTGGGAGACGGGAAGCCTCCTCGAGGTCACAGCACCTTTCCCATCCTGGGTAATGCTTGTCAGCAGCATTCACGAAATAAATTTGTTTTCTGTGCCAAAAAGAAAGAAACATTTTGGAAACTTGTTGCTGTCATGATAGCAACCACTGAATGTGAACTATCTATTGTTCCAAGGACAGATTGTCTTTGGGTCCTTCCAAAACAAAAATTGACTGAGACGTTTACTTGAACTTGTTGCAAAATGACTCACTTTTAGCAGGTCACATCTCAAAATATGGTCATACAGGAGAGTCAACTCATTGACTATGTTTAAAATAGAGTCTGAAGAATTAATAGACCTAACTAACTTAAGTGGTAATGTTCCATACACTATTTTCAGTAAAATGAATAAGCTCAGCATTTCGGTTTGTCTGTAGATACCACCCTTGATCTTTCTCATACAACCAGATAAATACTGTTGAAAGATACATCTCCAATATATGAAAAGCTTATTGAGTGATTTATCTCATTTCCTAGCTTTAAACGTAATACGAGTGAAAAAATTCTAAATCAAATACTTCACTATGTAAAGTTTAGTCAATTAACTTTTCTAAGTGAATATTCCAATCTTATGAAAATGTTGCCAATATGTCAAGGTGTTATGAAGGCATCATTCACTGCCTTCCAGTCAATTGAGATTCATGACGAAACTATAGGACAGAATTAAACTGCCCCTGTGAGTTTCCAAGACAATAACTCTTTATGGGAGTAGAAAACCTCATCTTTAGAATGTAATGACCATGCCTCTCATTCATATTGAGAACTAAGGTGTGCCTGACCCAAGCCATGTGTGTTAGTCTGGATGCGTTAGAGAAACAAATCCACAGAAACTCATGTATAAGAGAGCGTTTTATAGAAAGGGTAAGTGCACATCAAGAAAACATCCCAACCCAGTGCTGCCCAAGCCCACAAGTCCAACATTAACCCATATGTCT